TACGACCAGTCTCGGAGATTATATTGTCGCCGACATCGGTCGACCTGGAGGACGAGATGCGATCCGATTCCTCATCTACTGAGGTGCTGCCTCACCCAGTCCCTGAACGCTACACTGAGACTGTCGATTCTACCACTCCATTTACTCCATTGCGAAATGAGAAGATTGTAGCCACTGGCAGTGGCATTTCTGTTGGTATTGCTCTCACAGAGCCCGTGTTATACTTGCAGGGCTATGATCAGCAGGACCCAAGCAGTAAAAAGTCCGCAATTCTGCGGGGACAAATGCATTTGAAGGTTACCAAATGTGTCAAGATCAAGAAGATCTCGGTCTGCTTCCGCGGCCATGCTCAGACTGATTGGCCGGATGGTATGAATCTACATCCAAATTATACTTAAAACATGAGCTGACATTGTTCAGGTATCCCCCCTAAGAAGGTCCACTTCCATGACAAGAAGGATCTCTTCACGCATGGTGTGGTCTATTTCAATCACGGCGACACTGCACTCATGCAGAATGACTATGGTGCGCATTATTACCAGCATGCCAAACCGATATCATCTGTACCGGGAAAGGAGGGAGTGACGATGACAACTCGAGAACTATTTTCAAATCGCAATTCTGCCGCCTCACTTGCCCTACCAACCTCCCGAGAAGCCAAACGTCTTTCTCTACAGGGCAACCGTGGACATTCGCGCAGCTTCAGCAAGAACGAACCTCCGACTACTCAACCCCAACCCCAGCGAAATTACCGCATGTTCCCTGTAGGCGATTATTTATACAGCTTCGAGTTCCCAATTGATGGGTCATTACCAGAGACGATCAAAACGGATCTGGGGTCTGTGAGGTATGATCTGGAAGCAATGGTGGAACGATCAGGCGCATTCCGACCCAATCTCCTCGGCGCCATGGAAGTCCCTGTGATTCGTACCCCTGCCGAGGGTTCACTGGAGCAAGTTGAGCCGATTGCGATTTCACGGAACTGGGAAGACCAGCTTCACTACGACATCGTCATCTCGGGGAAGTCCTTCCCTCTGGGCTCACAGATCCCGATTGCGTTCAAGTTGACCCCACTAGCTAAGGTAGAGTGTCACCGAATCAAGGTCTATGTGACGGAGAATATCCAGCATTGGACGGCAGACAAGAGCGTGCACCGGTTGCAACCAGCGAAGAAGGTGTTACTTTTTGAAAAACGAGCAGACTCGCCCAGTGTGAGCACGTATCCGGGCAGCTCCATGCGTGTTACTGCAGGCGGCGGCATCGACTGGGACCAACGCGCTGCTGCCGCAATGGGGCAGGAGGTTGTGGATAGGAATCGAACGAATCTGCTAGGCAACTTGGCTAATGATTCTGGTGTGGGTCCAACTGAGATGGAATTCAACGTGCAACTGCCAAGTTGCCACGAAATGAAGGGCCGGGACGAGGGTCAGCGGTTGCATTTTGATACCACATATGAGAACATCCAGATCAACCACTGGATCAAAGTATGTCAAGCATCTTTCCCCTCTTTCTTCATAACATAATGATACTGACCGGTCCATGCAGATTGTCCTCCGTCTATCCAAGATCGACGAAAGAGACCCCACAAAACGAAGACACTTCGAAATCTCTATAGACTCGCCATTCCACATCCTCTCCTGCAAGGCCACTCATGCCAACATCTACCTACCAGCCTACACAACCCCAGCCGAAGAACCCGTCCCTCCAGCGCAAGAATTCGAATGCGGATGCCCCGGCGCGCCCCTCGCACCCCGAGAGCAAGTCATCGCCCCAGCGACATCCGATCGTGAAGACAGCAACTCTGTACAAGGTACTGTCTCCCGCCGTGGCTCAACAGGCCACAACTTCTCCCGCAGTTTCACCAATGACTCCGGTGGCCTCGCTCGGCCGCCACAAGCACACCTCGCATCGCCCCCACACGACCGCAACCTGCCCGTTCCACCTCGCCCAATGCATCTGCTCCGTGCGCCGTCCTACGCACCCCCTGCTTTCGAGGATGTCCCTCCCGCGCCACCACTTGTCACCCCGCCTCCAGAATATGACACTATCGTCGGGGACGACCGGGAGGCCGTTCTCGAGGATTATTTCTCCCGTTTATCGTTCTACGAAGAAAACGAAGACGATGACCGCGGTCGTGGCCGCGTCGATGTACCCCTCACGCCAGGTGGACGCGTCAACCGCAGCATGGATGTGCCTCGCGAATGGGTGCGACTCGAAGACTATTTCCAGTAATATCGCCTCTTTTATGTCCTTTTTTTTTTATTATAAAAAAGCTGTCACGAGTTTGAATCATGAATTTACGCTATTGTTCATATCGGGATTGGTGTCGGGCACATGTTTTCCAGCGATGCTATCCATCTTCAAGATCTGAGTCTGGCTCTTCTTTTCCTTCTCTCTTCTCTTTGGGGTTATATTTGGAATAATTTTATTTCTATTCAATAGCACTTTGTTTATGATTTATGCAGGACTGGTATGATTGTTGATACTGGGCTTTGTTTTTACTGCGTTGGCCGGGGACAAAAGGCGAAATGGGTTATTCGGGCATCTTTTATGGACACATGTAGTAGACTGAACTATGATCATCAAGTATCAGAACTATGCAGAAATACCGAACTACATATCTTAAAAACCGCCCACCTGGGCACCTGGGCAGCCCCAGGTGAACCTTGGAAGATAAGAACTGATGTGTCAGCGATAAGACCCCCCAGGCCGGCAGCCTTCCAGGGAACGCATCCAACTGTCTTGCCCGGTTTAGCTCTCCCCACATTCGTCTGGTTCTCCAACTTTCACGGCTTTTTCTTCTTTTTTTCAATTGCTTCTTCCATTTACGTACTTACGCGCCTTTCCTAAATCGTTACCCCTCAAGAACTACAGAATTAGGTCCTACAGGGTCCATTAGCGTACTTCGGGACTTTTGAGACGGACTACGCCGATTGGCTTACGCTTAGTGGCATAGGTGAGTTAGCATATAAATTATAGATGGACTGAAAACAAGCAACGAACAATTCTGACTACTTTCAGTGAACAAAAAGTGACTCTGGTCCATCCTCGACAACCGCTTTCTTCAATTCCCCGGCATAGCGGGGGCGTAGGACATCTGATCCTTTCATCTAGAGATTTACCCACCGTATACTCTAAACTACCATTATGGCTGTTGAAGTCGTCCCTCTCACTGAGGCAGATATCCCTGGGGCCATTGAAGTAATTCAGCAGGCATTTGCAGACGATCCCTATTTCAAATGGGTCTTCGATTCATCTCAGGTACGTCGTATGTTGAGAGACAGCTACCGAAAAAGAAAAATAAGAAACCGTACACCCACCTACTCCTAATCACAAGACTAACATACATCTCACTCGTGACGCGGTCAATTTGACCAGCGGTTACGTCTGCTGAGAGATAACTCCACGTATAGTTCAACAAGCAAAGAAACTACGATTCCCTCGCAGCACGCTGCCATTGGGGAATCAAGAATGCATTATTCCACGTTGCAAAGGAAACTCAAGACTCAAAATCCAAATCCGACAGCACCACACTAGGCTCAACCCCAGTCCTCGGCGTCTCCTGCTGGCTGGCGCCCCAACCATCCGCGCAACCAGAGAGCTGGTACTCCTGGTTCCAATCATGGACTCTATCTTTCAGCCAGATGCTCAACAACATCCGGTACCTTGGCCATGGCGGGCTGCGCACGAACAGGTACTGGATCTGGAAACAGCGGCAAGCTGAGGCGCAGGCTGCTATCTGGGATGATCCGCGCGGGTACTATTTCTGTAATATTGTTGCTGTTAGCCCTGAGGCGCAGGGGATGGGTGTTGGGAGGTTGTTGTTCGAGACTGTTACAAAAATAGCAGATGATGAGGGAGTCAAGTGTTATCTCGAGAGCTCGAAGAGCATACCCAATGTGGCGATTTATGAGCGTATGGGCTTTCACATGAGTAAGGAGATGGAATGTCGGGATGGGGTGGATGCTTGCATGGTATGTACATTGGACTTGTTTTGGTGTTTGGTCCCGGGGGTGGACCTCGTTCGTTTGGGTTGTTGCTGACTTTGATTGTTGGTAGTTGTACTGCATGGTCCGGGATCCGAGGAAGGAGTGATTCATTCTGTTGCTTTTGCTTTTGTTTTTGCTATTATGGCTTGGCTTGGATGTTTGGGTCATATTATGATTTTTCGCCCATGTCCGAGTTGGGAGTATGTCATGGATCCGTTCACAACGAGATTCGAATAAATATGAACTGATGTCCTTTAATTTAAGGGTTCCACATATATACGGAGTAGCAAGGGACTAAATCTTTCCTAGTAATCTTAACTCCGGCCCCGTTGCAAACCAACCCAACGATTCGATCCACCCATCTCCCAATCCACAAACGGGGCAAGATAGCTCGAATCTAATCGAATCTTATATTTGCAATGGGGTACTAGATCGATCTACGGGAGGCACATCCGCACTAGTACATCCGTTTGCAACGATCAAACCCGGAGAATGATCTATCAACCTTTCAATCGGATATTTCCCTACGCTAGGATGCCTGCATGCTGATCTGTTTAAATTTCTGTACCTAGACAATTGGGGCAGTAGTCTCTGAATCCAAAATTTAAGCTTATCCAATCATATTCATGTTAATATGCCGAAATTCTAACGGCCTGGTTTTTCGGGAAATATGTGATCCTCCCAGGTTCGGGGTGGTGTTTCAGACCCAGTCTAGTTTGAATATTGCCCTGACTGGTCCGATTCTTGCTCATTGGAAGTTCGTTCATTGTATCAAGGCTCGTGCGTTGATGGAGGACATATATATATATATATATATCTGAGGGTTGGAAGGGACTGATATGTTTGAAGAACATTGGATCTCCAGTTGAGGATTTGAGCACTACGCTTCTGGATAATTCGGATCAATCATTATCTTGACTATTTGTTTGAGCTGTGCGTACTTCTTATGGGGCATTCCAGACACTGGACATGCTAACTTTCCTTTGAGTGTGTATTGCTTTAATCATCACCATGTTTCTCCTTCTGGTACGAAAGCTATGTATCCGACGACGAAGATCGGACACGGAAAAATCCCCCGCTTCCTCAACTACGTCTCAAGAGCTTGAATTCCAAGAGAAAGAACCGCATCTACCCAACACCACCATGACCACTACACGACAACGCGACGAAACAGAACATATCGTCAATCAATCAGCCGCCCTTGCAGCTACCGTGAGCAATACATCAGCCAGGAGTGCCACATCATCGGTTGCCGCCCTTATAGCAGAGCCCAAATCAGCAGCACCAAAATATAAACCAGAACAGCCAGAAGAAGAAGAAGAATCATTCTACCATCTTCGCAGTCTGATAACAGTCTCCTGCTTGCCACAGCATATGTCAGCCCATACACGAACACCCTCGGCCTCAACACTAGGATCTAAATCAGGGAAACGCAAAAGTCAAATCTTTGATCGGAAGAGAGCGTCATCGATTCTGAGTTTACATCTTGGTGATCTACCGAGTTTACCGTTTCCCTCGAGAGGGAAAGTCTCGTGCAAGCGTTGCCCGAGGTATAGCCCTCTTCCTCCACCGTTTGTGCAGAAGAGACTTGCTATTCGGCCCGAAGTACGTTTTTAGGGGCTGGGTAAACCGTGGATTATTCGGGCTGTTTTGCATGCAAGTTGGGTTTTTGTTTTCTTTGTGCTCTTGTTCTATAATATCCAAGGTGGAGGTATTGTCTATCATCTCATATTCATGTACTTCTATTGGCTTGCTTATTTTAATATTATTATCAATCCCTGGCTATACATGGAAGAGTCGTCTGTACGTTTTATACTTCTATCACCTCCAGGCCTATATTGTATATCGGAGTGATATCTCGAATATAATGCCCTTACTAGTATTACTTTGAGCCAAATATATCAGATAACAAAGACATACTGTTCATGGCAGAGACGGGATAAGCGGCCAGCTATCCTTGTTACTGTATACCTCGGTATCGATGACGATCTACAGCATAGATGTATTTATGCAATTTACGATATAGTACACCCTGTAGTCTTGCAATCTATAGTTCACCTACACATATCGTCCATAGCACAACCTTGGAACTCTACTTATTCGTTTATCGTGGCTTACTAAAGGAGAAGTAATATGATTTCTAAGCAGGTCATCTGCCCGCGGACAGGCTATCCCGGCAGCCGTTAAGCTTCGGAGCATATCTGCTCACGCTAAGACATAAAACATATGACATACCCGCACGCACCTTGAAGCCCCTGCATAAACCGAAGCCGAACCCCACTCTCGAGCTAACTCGTCAAACGGGAGCAGATCGTCGGGCTGTGGACACTAACGGCTCGGTATTCATCTCCAAGCAATAACGCCCCGGCATTTATCTAGGGTCATGGGATCTTTATATTGTACTTGGCGTAGCGGATAAGTGTAAGAAACATTCTCGGCACTTGACGATACAATATAGATATGTACTCCAGTTATATATGTGACAACATGATTGGTTGTCTATGAAGCTTGTCGAATGGGAATCATTCTAGCTGTAACATTTTTTTATATGCTCTAGGAATTAGGAAATTATTTATGCACTAGACTGGTGCAAATCGTCCACTTTGTATCAGACAATATAGATGTAAATGTGAATTGGGATGAAAGTAACCTCGAGGTTCACACTATCTATGTATGATACACGTAATTCTGATCAATTTTGACACAATTGGATCTACAGACTTCACATCATCTGCTGTTTTATATTTGTGATGTAGTATATAATGTTGCAGCACAAAGTAGACGGGCTCATCTCCGTGGTAGACCAGACAATTGATCAGTGATATTCGGGCTCGGCAGCGGCAAAACCTGAAACGAGACGTTTCAGCTAGTTCAGATTGGTAGAAGTGCCGTGATTTGTTCCCACTGCCGATCTCTTTGTTCTATTATCGATATCGAGGTTACGTATATCGGCACGACCCTCCTGGTAGGGGTGGGTATGTAACCGGTTGTGGCTTCGGGACTCCACCCTGAAACCCGATTTGCGCACAAGCTGTTATCAATGCCGATATTGCTTTTTTAGGGGGATTGTGTCTGTTCGATTGAGCTATGTTTCTTTTGGATGAAGTTGATATTAAGGCTCACAAAGTTTATATGGGCATGTTTCTTGTTCATAGTATAAAACGTATAGAGTGAAAACATGTGCGTGAATTAAGACTGGAGAATCAGGGAAATGGTGTTCGGACGATCAATTGTTACCCACTTGACCCCCTTCAAGGCTCTTGGATTTCGTTTGCCGAGACACTACTTTGTATACATATGCACGAGACCTAGTCTAACAATGCAATTATAAAACTAGAAATAAGATCAAGAAAAGATCAGTCCCGTAGGGATTTAGATTAAATAAAAATTTTGAAATGAAACGTGCCAATTAAAAGTATCCGGCGATAACGTATGACCCGTTATATCGACGAATCGCATGGTTTCCAGCCCAACTGAGTTCGTCGCCACGATATCCGGTAAAACGGGAACAAATGAAGTAGGAACAAGTATGCGCAACTTGTTTAGTTATCCTAGTTAGTTTATTAAAACTCAAGTATACCAAGTCAACAGGTTTTCTAGAGGCCAGCCATGTCTAAAGGAGTAATCCTTTCCGGACAATGAGATCCCGAAGGATGAGACCCCCTGTCGGTGGCTCAATCGTGGAAATTATTGATATGTCGGCAGTATCACAATTGCTATCAAGTTCCGAGCATCAGCCTCGTCCGTGGCTTTCCGCACCGCGGTTGGACTTCAGGCTATGGGTATCAATTGATATTTATGAGCATGTGAAAAAAAAAAAAAAAAAAAAAAAAACGCCACGTTAGCAGAAAGGGTTTGAGCATAGGCTAGATATATTAGTCTATGCATAATATACATATGTAATAAGGAACCATAATATAAATCACCGTAGGCCCGGGAACTTAAAAAACATCCGAGAAAAGAAGAAAACCCCCATGGGAAATATGTGCAAACCACCATAGATCATCATCCGTGCCACTTTCCCGATTCGGCCGTCGACATGGTTTCCGATAATCTTCAGTGGGCATAACAAGACTTGGCTTTCGGTAAATGTACAAAGTATGTTGTAGTCCCGGTATATATATTAATATCACAGCCTATAATTTCATGGATTTGATACAGTTTCCAATAAACGCTCGACACGGCACACAAGCTCATTCACAACCAATGACCAACCTATTTTCTAATGAGAATTGACGGAAGCCAAGCGAATAATTAATATGGAACGCAGTGGCCTAGCATTGTATTGAGGACATTCTACTCCGTATGGAGGAACGCACATTCTTAGCGTGGGAAGAGAAAAAAAAAAGAGAGAAAAGCAAACTCTAATAGTCGGTTCATTTCCGGAAAATCCTCGAACTAACGTAAATATGTACGGAGTAGAAAAAGAGAAATTAGGAAATATGCATGTATGAAACAGAACACACTTGGGCAGATTCCTCCCCTTGAATTCCAATATAGATTTACTGTACAAATGTACAAATGTACAAATGTACGTAGTTCAGAGGAATTAGTGTTCCCAATTGCAACAGAGGGATAAACATCTCAGTCACTCCGATTCAGTGGACTCGTGGACCGCCGGTCCCTCCTGGGCTGTTTCTGAAGGCCATCTATCAGCCGTGGATCCACTGCCTCGGGTACCTCGGGTACCAAAGCCCTAAGTTCTTACCTACATAGTGTATTGAAGGGGTGACTTCCAAGGTTATCATCTAAGTCTAGCTTATATGTTGTAGGGATGAAATGTTAAATGTTCATATTTATATTTGACGCCATTGCAAAAGATACACGTGGCATGTAATATAATCCCGGGGGGTCAGATAGGATGGAGGAAGTTGAAAGGTGGAAGTAGGTATGGTAAAATGGGCACATAGGAAAGAGAAAGCCAACTTAGGTAAAGAGCATCAATCGCCAGAGCGAGACTATAGAATCCCTGTAAGGGAGGGGGTGTGCACTATATTCAATCTCTACTTCTTGATTCGGGGACCCCGGAACGGAGATTGTGCGGGCTTGGCTTTTGGGAAATCCATACGACATAGTATTCATGGATTATACCCTGTTGTATGTATCCCTCAATATATGGGCAATGGTTTCCAATAATTTATACTTCCGTCCTATCATGGAAAAAAAAAAAAGCCGGACTCGACCGGGAGGAACATCCAACCGTTGTAAGCGGACCAGCCGAAGCGGCACGAGGGAGATTCCGTAGATAGTGACCCTGCAGGAACTACGTTGAGTCCTGCATTCTCATTGTGGGACATAGGTACCTAAATATCTCTCAAGTCGCTTTGTCGTCATAGGTTATTTTGGTTTTCATTTTGGGGCACTTTTCTTTCCGCATGTTGGGGCAACCCCCCTTTTCCCCCTGGCCATGGCGGAATGTGATGGAAGATAGAACAACCACGTCGCGCATATGGCCCCTGGAGACCTAGACTGGATTGAATTGAATTGCCTATCTGTAAAGATTTGAGTCTAAACGTTGTTAAGAACCAGTCAGATAAGTCGAAAATGTATCCGTTCCGCGTACATGAACATTTCAACGAGCATATGATTTGAGGACTATATGGAAAATTAGGTGAGATGAGCTTGTATAATATATATATATATATATATGTATATATTTTTTTACCTTCCTATTCTTTGAAGGTAAAGAGCTCTCAGGTCATAATAAAATGAACTAAAACAAGATCCCAGGAGTTCGAAGTGAATCGTAGAACACAATTCCCAAATTGAGCAATCAATACCCAAAAATCAGAAGATTCACTCGTCTAAACCTCATATATGAAACCCGCCAGACGCCCAAATAAGGTAACAGACGCTAGTAAAGACAATGGTAAAAAAAAAAAAATACAATGAAACCGGAAAACATAAACGCTTGCAAAGCCAATAAACATCAAGACAATGCAGCCAATAGTTCGAAATATCGGAAAAAGCAGTCGCGAAGCAAAGTTTAAACCGGCACGGTCTGCCCCACAACTTCGAAGAAAAGAATCAGAATTTTAGAAATTTGTCGATCATAGTCGCATAAAAATGGGTTGAAACGTTTCTCAAACGGCCGAGTTTGTCGGAGGGTTGGCGGTAGCTGAAGAGTTCCTGACGATGGAGTCTTCCATGCCAAGAACCACAACAGAAAGCGGAATGGGAAACTTTAGAGAATTCCTTTGACCGAGTTCCAGATATGAAATTTTTGTTTCGACTCTCTGCAGCATAGTTGAAATATGGCAATCATCGAGAGCAAAGTACACATTTGCCCACTACCACAATGAAGCGATCGTGTGGGCTGTCGTTGCAGGTGCTATTGTCTTTTGTTCCTTCCATTTCGGTGCGGAGGAAGTGGGCGGCGGGATTGGAGCAGGTGGAATATATGTAAAAGTTTTTGAAAAAGTTGCACATTTCGATCCCATCGAAGGGGGGTTGAGTTTGTGAAGTTGGCCAGTTGTGATGGCAAGATGGAAGTATAACCAGACGTGGGTAACAAGTATAATCAGATGAGGATAGTCAATGGAATTAAGACGGTGTGACAGATTAGATTGTAAGGCATATATAGATCTTGTCGAAGTGAAGGGGAAAAAAAAAGTATAGAGGCTCGAGCAGATATATAAGAGTATATATTTTGGAGAGATGGAAAGAATAGATAAAAAAATATAAAAAAGATAAAACATAAATTAAATTAAAAAGAAAATTAAAGACATTCAGAAGAAATTTCCAATCCCTAATATCCCTAATTCCCTAATATAATAATCCCTAAGGATGGGTAAAGATGCAGTATACAGTACTGCACGGCATCCTCCCCACCATCTCCACCCCCCTAAAAAAAAACAACCCTTGTCAAAAGAAAGCGGGTCCTGCATAAACAGTGGCTTTAATTTGTATGACCGTTGAGACGAAAGGACGCTTTTAGTTATTTTTAGTTGTTTTTGGGGATTTTTAGTTCCTGTTCCTTTTGGATTCTAAATTTTTTTTTTAAAAAAGGGAAAGCTTTGTCAGGGATACGATGCAGAGACCTCGGGATGGGCATAAAACATCGGGTAGATGGGAGATCGACACGGTTCCTCACAGCCGTTGATGCTTCTTCAATTCACACGTGGCGCTAGTCGGGATCTTCATGCATGAGACAAATATCTTCGGCAGTCTCGTTAAATCTCGTGTGAGAACTTAAGCCAAATTGCCCGCAACCTTGGCACTTCTTTTTTTTTCTTTCTCCAGGAGTCAGGCGAACGCGGAGGATTTCTCTCGTTGGTAGAGAGTCTGGTGATGATTGTAACATTGTGCAAGATTGGGCCTGTTGGGGAACCGAAAGAACGTGTTGGGCAGTCGGAGCTGGTGATAGGCCCTAATAATCAAGTCGAGGGATTTTTCTTGATTATTTTTCTTGATTATTTTTCGGTTTGTTTTTTTTTTAAAAAAAAAAGAAGACTTGCTGTGTACCACATGCATTACTCCTATCAAGGGCTATCCGAATTTGAAGATTGTAACTATTGTATATAAAGTTGTATAATTTATGATCCTCAGGTGAAATAGGCAATCAGAGAATCAAACGATGAGTCGGGTACGGAGTACATAAGTTATATATGGAATGAAGAAAATGAGGAGAATTAAGAGAATTAAGACTTGGTAGAGGCATACTATAAAAATACTCTCGAACACAGATTGACAAATCAGAGTTGTTCGATGTATGGCGGACTAAAAGATCGGAGACAAGCTCTCCGATTTGTGTGGTATACGGGAGACGGCTTTTTGCCGCACTTGTGCCATCTATACGCCACGAATCAAAAGGCCGGAAAAAAACGGAGATATATATACAGGGTTAGAGCCTTGTTTTAAGGATCTAGAAGCCATGCCCTATATATGAAACCTGACGCAATGGTCACCTTTCATTTTAACTCCTTCCGAGTACTTCCAAGCCGATCATCAGGCAATCTACTTACATTATACAAAGTACAACATACTCGATATTGACAAAATGGGCCGTTCACTAGGGGAAAACGGTTCCACTAAGATCAAACCATACATTCTGCGTCGTACCCGCTAGAGACAATTTGCCTAACTTAGCTGGTCTGACGAACAAGTAATTGAAAGGACCAGATCTACTTTACACGTGGAGTGGATTGTATGTCAGGAGGTCCTGGGTAAACCTCCAAGGGCATGGTGTGACAATGCCCCAGTTGTGTGTGGAGACAAGAGGTCAGTCCACATACTTTGTACAGGTTTAGTTCAATATAAGATACTCCGTATATTCCTACAATATATGTACTGTGGTTGCACCTTAGCGTCGGTAGTCGGGATTACCGAAGTAAAAGGGAAAAAAGAAAACAGAAATATAATGTTAGACCAATAACAATGGCCCAACATTATATGGGGCGTTATTCTAGTCTTTGCAAGTCCATCGAGTTGTGGATACAGAAAAAGTAGATATTAGCCGTAGTATCCGGTATAGCTTCAAAGGTGCCTAGTCAGATTTTTAAAATTGGGAATGGTATGTTTTATATTGTGCCTTGACCCTTTGTAGTTCTTGAGCCGAGCCCGGACCCGAAGTCACATGAGATCTCTTCTTTGAGATTCCCTTTTGGATCTACGGGTGTTTCCGATCTCTGATGACTAAGACCCTAAGATCCCTCAGCGGGCCTTAGCAACAACGCTAAACCTACAAAGGTAATTCCAATCCCGTGATCTTGAAAGCGAAAACTGAGACACTTCCCCCTCGCATCAACGATACATACAGGGGCGATCCGACCTTCAATATTCGCTATCAAGGGCTATCAGCCGATTGAAACAGTGCAGCTGGGGTGCAGAAAGAGCCACACTGTTATTGGGGACATACATACACAATTCCCTCCACTGTCCCACCTCCATCGTTGTGGAGACCAGCTGTCCGCTCTCAACATTCGTGACCCGCCAGCGCAACTAGAATCCCAACTGCTTATTGTCGCACTCAACATCCCACTGACCAGCCATCATGGGGTTCGGTCAGTTCGACACCATATGCGAGAAGGCGGCCGTGCCTTTGTGCTCCTTAGTGGGCCCGACGTCAACAATATCCGGGTCAACAGGCATCATATCCAACTGCTATGCACGAAATATTGAGCTTGCCAATACCATCATATTCCAGGGTGCCGCATCCTTCATGCATATCATGGCGCTTAGCATGACGGTAATCATGATCCTGCACATTCGATCTAAGTTTACTGCCGTCGGTTCGTCTAAATAAGCCCCTCTCCGCTCACATTCGGCGCAAACTGACTAATCTTTTCACTACTGATAGGTCGCAAAGAGATCATCACCTTCTTTTATATCTACCTAGCTCTGACACTTTTCTCTCTTCTCATCGATGCAGGTGTCGTTCCCCCAGGGAGCGAACCGTTCCCGTACTTCGTGGCTGTTCAGAACGGTTTCATATCCGCACTATGCACCTGTCTTCTCGTCAATGGGTTCGTCGGCTTCCAGCTGTATGAAGATGGCACAGCCCTCTCTGTGTGGTTGATCCGAGTTCCCTCCGCGGCGATGTTCGCTCTTTCATTTGTGATATCGCTGGCGACTTTCAAGTCATGGGGTTCGATGGGCCCCCATAATACCACGGGCTTGTTTGTGGTGCTATACCTGCTGAACGCCATCTCCATCGCGGTTTACTTGGCCATGCAATTACTTCTAGTTGCGAACACATTGGATGACCGCTGGCCACTGGGCCATATCTCCTTTGGTGTGCTGGTATTCATCGCTGGCCAGGTTATCTTGTATCAATTCAGCGACGTCATCTGCAACAGTGTGCAGCATTACTTGGATGGCCTTTTCTTCGCTACATTCTGCAATCTCCTCGCTGTCATGATGGTATACAAGGTAAGTTCATACTTCACATTTGCAGGGTTGGTCTTGCTAACTTTCTTTAGTTTTGGGACTCGATTACCAAAGAGGATCTGGAATTCTCCGTCGGTGTCAAGCCAAACACTTGGGAAGTTAAGGAACTCTTATCTGAGGAAGACCGCCGAGCTACGGTATACGCCGACAATAACTCCGAGTATGCGGGCAGTGTGTACCACCATCGCTCTTCGACACACGGTCATCATAATTACTGAGCCGTCTTCTTCTGTTCCTTTCTTTTTCCCTTTTCCCTTCACAGATCTTTTTTTTTTAATCCACAGCGCTGTATATGTGACTATTGACTTCATGATATCTCACTTGTTTTTCGTGGATATTTAAATGCTCCCACTATTTTGGCGCTAAAGCATCCTTTCGGACGTGGATGGATATACCTAACAATCATATAATAATTACACGGATTATCAATTATCAACAGGAGTACTCCGTACATGGCTAGAAGACATTTTCACCTTTTGCTCTACCAATCAAGTTTTGACATAGAGGGGACTGCACGCACTATATACAGCGGTGGCATTTACTACTAGCGATTATATACAATATATAAGAATTGAAAAGGTTCTGTTTCGTACTCTCTTTGCTTTATTGAATGTATCTCGGTCACGCTTGTATATCGCATTTTAAAGAGCAGTTCCGGGAGATAAAATATTTTCTCTGTTCTAAGTCTCCAGACTTTACCCTCTCGACCCAGTACTAAGTTCGTATAGGAAGAATTTAGCGTCCACCATCCTACAAACCAGTTTTCGGGGCGCTAGACTATCACCTGGGCAGAGATAGGCTACGCAGCAAGAAGCTGCAGGTATTGCAAAAAAAAAATTAAAAATAAAGTTAAAAAAATTAAAAAAATTAAAAAAACGCAAGAAAACCTGGAAGTGCTATCATGCATCGCTCCGTGACATTTTGCGGCGGCACAACGGCCCGACCAAATCCCGAACATCTCATGGGCCACGTTGCACCAGTCCAAGAGTGTGATCGTCAGGCAAGACGATCGGTGATAGAGGCAAACGAGTGGTACGGAGTACGGAGTATGTACTTTGTACATAGGATCTGCACTGCCGCGTTCCCCAAGGAAAAAAAACCTACCAAAACCTGCAGCATGGCGGCTTAGAATAGCAGAGCGAAGCGAATACGGCGGCGATGCCTTGTTCTGGATGTGACCGGGCGATCAAGACCCATTCCGGTTTTTCTTGCCTGCGGAGAATAAATCTCGATACCACAGTAATCGGGACTATGTGCATACTATTCGCTGTGTGCTAGGGTGCAGTGCGCGGACCGAAGTCTAAGTGAGTGGCCTGCCGATCAGGGGTCCCGTGGGTAGAGATAGTTCCCGAAGAACGTTCTAAAGCGGTACATAATAAAAAAGACAAGGGGGGATTGCAAGGTTGAAGGACCGGGATTTGCAATCTCAATCAACGACGACAACGTCATCATCATCATCATCATCCATGAAGTCCCCGTCTGTTTTGGTTTTGGCGTCCTGTGTTGCATACGGTTGCTTGATACCGTCGTTCTTGGCTGGCTTGGTGGACGAATCATACCAGCCTTTGTCTATCGACTTGACCAAAACGGCGCATGCTTCACTGAGCATCTCGAAAAATGCAGGATTTTCTTTGGACAAAAACATGGTAACATGTGCGTTGATTTCGTCAGTAGCCTTGTCGTTAACCGCCCTGGTCCACAAAAGTCCTGGACTTTGAGATTCCTCGCCACGTTCTACCTCCTCTGGCAATGAACAGAACGTCCTGTTCCTCGACCTGATGATTTTTTGACTGAAGGATGTTTTGTTTGATGTGTTTTCCACCAGACTACCCGCATTTTTTCCGAGGCATGTATAGAAGTTCACACACCCAATGCCACGTTCCTCCTTGACATTCGACAATCGCGCGAGACGCTGGTGCAATTCCGACATGCGTGCGAGACAACCGACAAATTCAAGGTGCGACGATACCCATCCAAACCCTTCGGTAAGCTTCTGGCGCTGTGTATACATGGCTGCACCGCCAGCGGCTACAGCACCGGCAGCACCGGCGAACATGGCATACTTACCCCATCGTTGCCAGGAAGGCGTCGCGGCGGCGTCAGGCGTGGAAGGCAACGCTTTGGGGAACTCTTGCGGAGATGCATGGGTAGTTCCCTGCTTCGATGCATTGCCCTTCCCACCAAAACCGAACAATCCTGCAACCTCGGAGACGGTGTTATAGGCAGTTGTAGCATTGCGGTAGTGTTCTTCTGCGCCGTATGATACGACTCCCGGTGCTATTCCCAGGAATGGGGTATCAAATGCAAGCACTCCTTGTATATGAGGGAACATGAAAGTACCCGGTTCCACGATAGATTCAATGCCATCTCTAGGGTGTGTATTTGAAGTCGGATTTCGAGAAATTGGTTGTTCTGATGCCAACAAAAGAAGAGCCTCAGCTCCTACTATTCCTCCCATTGAATGACCGATCAGAAAGACATGGACCGAGGGATCGACGGTGGGCGATGCGGTATGGTTGGCGACCTCGAGATCAATCACAGTATTTTGTAGCCTGTACAGAAGAAGTATAATCAGTCAGCTTGTATTCACATGAGGGGCTGAGCCGACTCTTACCAATCTCGCAATCTTGCCACGCATTCTTTCAAATCACCTTTAGTCTCATACTTGGGGTAGACAGCAGTGGCGACCTCGACTGCAGGAAATGCTCTGCTTGCGAGGACGCGCAAATGCTCAGGGAACGTGCCGAAAGTATCATCACCGCCCTAGAATCGGAGTTGGTCAGTGAATGTAGATTTAGGCCCAAAATAGATCTCCTTGAAACCGAAATCCGTAATTCTTTGCAACCAGGTGTTCAACGACGGCCATTTGGCTTACCTTAAAGCCGTGAATGAATACGAGTAGCAGAGTCTTCCTCATTTTGAAATTCTCAGAGAGCCATGTTTATAAATAAACATAGGGAGTGATTCAACCAAACGAAGGATAAAAGAACGCCGAGCCCCGACTCAGTAACTAACGCTCTGGACAGTTGATTTGAATTACGTCATTGTGGTTGGGCGCAATCACGTGACTGGCTGATACATACATATAAATATTTGAAGTCACTTCGAGGTCCCGGTTCCATGGATATTGTATGTATTTCACTCTAGGTAGGGGGAGATCCGGGGGGGGGGGGGGGATGGGGAGGGCTGTATCTTCTGAATTGAAATTGCTATTCATTTGACTTTTGGATGCTGCAAACTATATATCCCGAAAGACCACACGGACCCAAACGCTATATTCCAACTTATAAACTCCAATTTGTCCCCTAAAAACCTGCAAATTTGTCCCATTACTAACGCCGTACCAAGGCAACTCTTCCAAATCCATTGCTAAACCTCAGAGTCGATCTCGAATTTAATGTGACACGGCACATTCGGTGACATGACCAGACCGCAAGCTTTCCATGCCACTTTTGGGGGTTCCAATATCATTGGCTGTTGCCAAAGGGGCAAACGGCACCTTTGTACTAGATGGTGGGATAGTTGCTCCGGGAGCGGTGCTAACAAGCCCCTTTGATACAGCAAAGCAAGAAGAGCGGTCGTGGTTGAGGTTCTCGCCATAGAATTCATCAAGAATTGGGTGAAGCATAACAGTCTGCTTGTGAATAGTCACAACTGAGTTGGTTGGGACTGACACCCAATTGTCTGTGTATAAAATTAGTATATACTTGTAGGTACGGAGAGAGGGAAAATGTTCTCACGTCGTTCAAAGGTGATGGGCTCACTGGCCACAAGAACAATATCGGCACCTTTATCGTGTCGCTCCATCTTGAAGTGTCCTTTCGTTTCACCTTCCTTCCATTTGGTACCAGAAGAGAAATACAAGCTGGCAGGCTCGTCTGTTTTGCTGCTGATGTACCGAGTGCAAACGACTGTATGGCCATCTGTCACAGCGAAGTTCAACAAACTGCGAGTCTCAACTCCGGTAACGTTATATTTCTCTGGAATTTCCTGGACCATTTCATTGATTCTGGCAATGGTTTTCATCAAAACACGACGTAGAAGAGCCTGTCCGAATCCCTCAGGACCGGGGTTAGAGCTTGGATCTACTCCTTCTTTTTCCAGCAGGTCAAGGAACAGGGCAAATGCCCACTCGCTGTCGGTGCCACCTTTCACGCCTAGATACCACTTGTCGGCGAGTGAGCTTCCCAGCGTACGCTTGATATAGTTCCACCCGCCGATACCGCCATTGTGCATCCACATCAAGGACTGGTGCTGGAACGGGTGGCAATTGTTCTCGGCAAGGGCACCCTCAGTTGTTGCGCGCACATGCGCAAAAATCAGATCTGAGCATGTTTTTGCAGCGAGTCGCTCTAGATTTTCACAGTTCCAGGCGGGAAGTGTTGAAGTAAAGATGCAAGGTTCTGGTCCAAGCTTGGGATCTGTGTAGAAACCCACACCAAATCCGTCACCATTGACAGGACGGCGATTGTCCTTTTATTACATGTTAGTGAGTTGCAATATGCTAATCACATGGGTCTGACCCAGCGGTATGGGAAAACCTACCAGTCTCAGACGTGAATCGTATGATTGAGTAAGGATTGAATGACTTGGCTCGGTTATCAGCTTACTGAGCCGGATCTCATTCCGCCCTTTGTATATCTGATCCGAGGTATTAGATTGGGCCCAATGCTTGGAGGGATGGATCTTACCAGGAATCGACACATGTTTGGTCTGGATCAAATGCAATTGAAATGGCAGTGTATCAAATCCTACCCTTGACTTTATAATAGCGACAAGGTGTATACCAAACTTGTACTTCGAACAAGGCTGTACTTGTGGCGAAAGAATGTATCGATACACTCGATTTCGTGGGGGTCGGTGCGAATGAAGAGTCACCGACTATTGGGACCGGTGAGATGTCCCAACGTCAACTTCAACAGCGACTTTACAGCTCAACAATGATACATCCAAGAGATAATTTTGGCACAGATTACAAGAAGGGGAGAATGTTTTTATCAAAATAAACACAACAGAATAAAGTCACTTCCCTTGCACAGCACGTCATATTTCACGTGATTGGGGTATTACGGGAGGCTACGCGGCTACTTGCGCAAGTCACGGGTTAATCCTGATGTCAGTGATCTGGTAATCTACAAGGCCATCACTTTTATTCCATCTTTATTGAATGCTACCACAACAATAATGAGTGGGAGGATCCTCTCCCATCGACTAGGACCGCTATTGCGGAGCGGTCATCTAACTCGCCATATCCATAATGCAGGCTCGAGGACCGGCGGTCTGTTACGGGCAAATGCTGGCGTTACTCTCCGAGGACGCGCATGGCCTGTGGGCGCAAATGCCATCCACAATGTCCCTGCTGTTCGGTCAATCTCATTTGCTCGAATGCTTCCGAAACTAGCATTGAAGCTTGTCAGGGTTCCGGCTATGTTTGGTGGTGCGACAATCGCGGGTCTAGCTTATTTCCAGTACCAAGCAACTCGTACGTCATTCGTGGATGAAGCTCGCTGCAAGTGGAATGTTAAGCTGATTTAATCTCATAGAGGCCGGCAACTATGCAATAGATATCTTCAAGCAAGCCTCGGAGACTGCGGGGAACACAGCTTCGACCTTGTTCCAAGGATTACAGGACATGGCGGATCAGACCCAACGCGGGTGGAGCAAGACGACCGAAGACATCGAACTGCCTGACTGGTTGCAGAAAATCCTACGTCCCGATGAGGAGTCTGAGTCTCGAAATGGCGATTCATCTGGGGGAGGCAAAGGGCCGAAACAAAGTCGGGCTGGTACTGCTGCCGCTGCTGCCGCTACTACTTCAGCATTTGGATACGATAAATCGGGGGAGGAAGATTTACGACCAGAGAAAGATGCTGCGGAGGATGATCAAATGATGCTTCTCACACGCAAAATGATCGAAATCCGAAATATCCTCCAGACCATCGGCCAGTCCGGCACGCTCACTCTTCCGTCGATCGTTGTGATTGGATCCCAATCGTCGGGCAAAAGCTCGGTTCTCGAGGCTATCGTTGGTCATGAGTTCTTGCCCAAGGGCTCGAACATGGTGACTCGACGGCCAATTGAGCTCACGTTGGTCAACACCCCCAACGCTCAAGCAGAGTACGGTGAATTCCCGGCCCTAGGTCTTGGAAAGATCACGGATTTTTCCCAAGTTCAGCGCACACTCACAGATCTGAACCTTGCTGTTCCTGAAAAAGATTGTGTCACAGACGATCCCATCCAGCTTACGATATATTCTCCCAATGTTCCGGATCTATCTTTGATCGACCTACCGGGATATATCCAGGTTTCGGGCCACGATCAGCCCCCAGAGCTCAAGCAAAAGATTGTTGATCTTTGCGATAAATACATTCAGCCACCGAATGTCATTTTGGCGATCTCGGCTGCTGACGTTGACTTAGCAAACTCGACAGCACTTCGAGCTAGTCGCCGAGTAGACCCTCGGGGTGAACGGACTATCGGTGTAATTACAAAGATGGACCTTGTCAGCCCCGACCGTGGCCGCGATGTCCTTTCCGATAAAAAATACCCCCTTCGGCTAGGCTACGTCGGTGTTGTTACCCGGGTCCCTCAGACAACAGCACTGTTTTCTAGAGGCTCTGGGAACATTACCAGCGCCATTCTCAAGAATGAGCATGCCTACTTCTCTGCACACCAGAATGAATTTGGTCCACACTCTGATGTCTCAGTTGGTGTTTCGACACTGCGGAAAACGCTAATGCAGGTTCTTGAGCAGACCATGTCATCGAGCCTGTCTGGAACCAGAGACGCCATCAGCCAAGAGCTTGAAGAGGCTACTTATGAGTTCAAGGTTCAATATAATGACCGACCTTTGAGCGCGGAGTCCCACTTGGCTGAGAGCCTCGATGCTTTCAAGCACTCCTTCAAGGCATTTGCGGAGAGCTTTGGGCGACCGCAGGTTCGGGAGATGCTCAAGGCAGAATTGGACCAGCGGGTCATGGACATTCTGGCACAGCGCTACTGGAACAAGCCAGTTGAGGACTTGGACCCTCCCATGTTAGAATTAGATCCCCTCAAGGATCTTCCCAGAGCCGATGCTGAGTCGCTATATTGGCACCGGAAGCTTGATGCTTCTACTTCGTCATTAACAAAGCTTGGAATTGGGAGGTTGGCTACGACTGTTGTCGCTAATGCTCTCAACAACCATGTGGACTCGCTTCTAGCCTCGTCCACATTCGCATCTCACCCTGGCGCCCGCAAACAGATCACTGATGCATGCACCAGTATCCTAAACGACAAATTCTTCAGCACCAGCGACCAAGTCGAAAATTGCATTAAGCCATACAAGTTTGAGATTGAGATTGAAGATCCTGAATGGGCCAAAGGTAGAGACAACGTGGGCAAAGTTCTAAAGGAAGAGCTCAAGTCGTGCGAATCAGCCATGAAGCATGTGGAAGAAATTACTGGAAAGCGAAAACTCAAAGACGTTATCTCGTTTATTGACAGGGTACGAAAGGGCGAAGTTGTACTAGAGGGCAATGGCGAGGGTGGCGCGGGAGGCTTCAGTGCCGCCTTATTGGAGAAAGGTTTGTATTCCCCTCTTTCTTCCATTACAGACGCTGACATATCTTAGGACGAGAGGGCCTTTTCCTTCGGGACCGCGCGGATCTTATCAAGATGAGACTTCTCGCCATTCGGTCAAAGCAATGCGCAGCAAAAAAGAACAAGTACTACTGCCCAGAGGTCTTCCTGGACGTTGTGGCAGATAAACTCACCTCCACGGCCGTGTTATTCCTCAATGTCGAGCTCCTATCTGAGTTCTACTATAATTTCCCACGTGAGCTTGATTCGAGACTTGGACGACACCTTTCCGACGCGGAGGTCGAGCGGTTTGCCCGCGAGGATCCCCGCATCCGCCGTCACCTAGACATCATCCGCAAGAAGGAGCTGCTGGAGCTGGCTCTGCAGAAGATCGAAAGCATCCGTCAGCTTGACGGCCGCGCCCGGAAATCAGAGCGTGCGCCTCCTGGAAAAGAAACGCGAAGTCGTTGGAACCTTTTCTAGAAGATATGATTCTTCCCCCCTACTGCCTGTGCACAACGCTTTTTTTCACTTCTCAATCTGGATTTTCGATACCTCTGGTAGTGTTCTCATCACTCTTTATCCTGTTTAACCATCTTCCCTTACACTTCCTCTTGGGATATTATGTATCTCTAAGTGTCTTGAAGTCAATGTACATAGCTCTAGGCTGTTCATCACACAATCGATAATTTATTTCTTGAATGACTATCCTTCCTTCATCAGTTGCTATATATGGAAACGTTAGTTTGCACCTTTCACGCCTTTTTCACTGCCTATATTCTATATTTCGCAGCTAATTATCCTTATCTTCCTGAGAAGACACCCAAGAAGACTTCGGGAAAGGCTACCAAAAAGGCTACATAAGCGGCCGACTATTCTTGTTCTTACTCTGTAGAAATCCCCCCACAGAGTTTGGCAAGTACACGGGCTACATATGAACATAGCAGGTAACCCGTCAATCTCAACCGAGGCCTCCTATCAAAAAACCAAACTACACCGGCCCCATGTACTCCAAGTGAAGTGCCCCCTGTCCCCAGTCAGTGATTATTTGCTTGATCTCCTCCAGATCATTACGGAAGATGCGCAGCAGGGTATGATCATCGCGAGCCCAAGTATAGTACCTCCCGTTAGATTCAAATAAGGCTTCGAGCCAATCTTGAGACGCAAATAGCGGCACGCAACTGGCGAGGTCATGATTATTGGCCATCATGTTTTGAACACCGTATTTTCTCTTTAGTGTCACTAGATCACTCGAGAATTCAAGAGGATCAGTCGGCGCCCACCATTGTCATCAGCCACGGTTTTGATAGAAGGGAGAATTATATACTTGTATACTTGCCCGTGTTGGTTTTGTGCCATTCCTCGGCTCTGCTGGCCAAAGTGGACTCCCTAGTGGAGGCTCAGATAGGTCAAGAAATGTGGTCTGTGGCACTAGGCCAGCAAGCCTTCTAGATCGACGAGGCTGTCGATTAGGTTAGCCTTGCTCATATCCAGTATATTTAGGGCAGCCTTACCAGATAACTGACTCTTCTTGATTTTGGTAGTTTTGATTTTTTTGAAGCCATTTTGCCTCAGGTAGTATTTGGATATGGGAATGGAGAACATAGGCAATCTTTTATGGCGTGAGCACGATACATATGTATTTTGACCTGAGAGTCATGGTATAAATAATACCTGTAAGAAGATTAATAGCACCCCACAACCCAAGAAGCCTCCAGATATAGTCTCAGGAACCCAAGTAATATGAGGATTTGACGTCCATTATATCTGAAACAAAGAAACATTATAATTTATAGTCTTTTGCCCTTTATTATGCTTTCATGCCTCTTTCATTATTCGACTATTTTATCAAATGTATTCTGTAATTAAACTTGGATCTTCATATTTTAAGACATTCAGCGACAATGGCATTTGATAATCCCGTACAATCACAATGTCAACAGCCCCAGAGACCCCTTCCACTGAGACGTATTTGCTGGCTTTCAATGGCCAACTGAACTTGAAAAATGCATACACTTGGAGCCTGACACAAGTGAGTTGCTGCAATATATTTCTTCCTTCTTTTTTTAGATGACTAACTAACTATGCGCAGATTCAAGCTTTCATGGCCGAGGTTGTACACAACCCTAATGCCTATGGGGTAGAACAGAAAGTATTATCAGAATTGCAGAGACTACGCACCGATATTATCGATCTCAGGTGAGTTATATTTCCACTATAACTTATTTTCTGTCAACTAATCGAATTCATGCAGCGAAAATGGAAGCAAATTTCTGTCTGAGGCCGACTACCCGCAGGCGATTTCGAGGACGGTTAACCCAACTGCAGCGGCTAGCGAGGATGAGCCATATTTCTTGTTGAATATACTAACATACGGAGGCGTTCCATATTGGTGCTCATTTGATCTTCTAGGTAGGTTCCTTTCCCTTATTGGCCCAGCCCCTCAAGGTGCCACACATAACAATTTCTACTTACCCCTGACACTACTATACTCCAATTGGTGTGGCAAGATAGCTCCGATGCCCCCGTGGATGCATTCGTGCGTCTGGGCAGAGGAACAGGGTAAGCAGAGCCGCTTTCACCTGGGAGCATCGCTCGGGGGATATTTAAAACCGCGTGAGAAGGGCTTCATTTGGGTCACAACTTTGCAACAAGCCTGCTTCAATCTTCTTAGCGATCAAAAAACCACCACAGCGGGGATATCATGGGGATCTTCAACGGTAACATTAGGTAAGGGGGGCCGTCTTGTTCCTTATGGAAACTGTGCAGAAACATATCCTCTCCTACATCTTCTACGGTGAGTCTATCCTCTGAAATCCCATATATCCCATACTAACGAATTAGGAACCATGGCCCTAACCAAGAGGTATATGGTCTTGCAGTATCGCTTAAATACGCACCCATAGTAGCATACGAGCATCAACAGGCATTGAATGCATTGTCGAAACCTTGCACTAATTGTGAAAAGGTGATAGCTGCCTGGGGCGGAAAGTTAGAGAACTTCATCACAGATGATATTCTGGAGCGCAAGGCTCAACCCTCAAAAAAGCAAGAGTATACTCCAGCGGAGGACAACGCTGAGCCCGCGCCGAAAAGGGCCAGAGGCAAGAGCAAAGGTAAGGAGAAACGTAAGGAGAAAGGCAAACAGTAGTGAAGGTGTAGAGGTTTGTAGAGTTCAAAAAAGCACTGTCTTATATAGTACCATATTATCTTTGTTTTCATCTCTTCATCCACACTTTAATGGGACAATAGGGCAGAGATATACGTATACTTTAACCTACAGTTATATTTAGTTAGACCATTTTCTCTACGCGAGATTACCCCACCGAACTATCCCCGGCAACACACTACAACATATAAGCGCTAGATATCTGAAGAATGGGGTTAGACAATTTCCCCGAAGAACTCATAGAGCTCATTTTGATATTGTTAGATGACGAGCAGACACTTCTACTCGCCCAAAGAGTTTGTCGACGCTGGGCCTCTTGCATCCAAGGCTCTCAGTTACTCCAGCAAATCCTATTCTTCCAGCCTATACAGTCTATCCTCCCAGAGCACACAAACATCCTAGGACGAAATCCCTTATTGGAAGCAAATTTTCCATATTGGTTCCCCAATGAATATCAGAGATCTACTGCATTTGGGGCTGGGGACATGCAAGAGTTTCTAGACAACCACGCTGCATGGCTCCACCCAAGTGCAAGTTGGCGCCGAATGCTGGTCCAACAACCCCCGGTAATGACTCTAGGCTGGATAGACCGCAAAGAATCATTTACCAACCGGATCTCTCTGCACCGGTGGGAACTGTCATTGGAAGAATACGGTGGGCTTCGTATGAATATGCTTTACGATCTGGTTGTTAAGTCCTCAGATAAGGCGGCAGCGTTCTTTTACTGGAGGATGCACTGGAGCCGTCCTGACCTGAAAATGTATTCTATCAAGCCTAATCCGGATATCCAGGTGTACAGGACACCCTACTACCTCCAAGCGATGATGTCGGCCAATGCGCAGACAGATGTTGTGCTTGATACGTGGAACTCTCCGTATCTCGAAGCTCGTCTTTGGCGGGAATTTGGTAAGGATACTTGGACGTGGGACTTGATACGAGGACTTCAATCGCCGATGGGAGATCTGAATCTTGATGTGGTCTATGGCTCAAGAAAACAGCAGGAGCTGCAGACCTGGGAAGTGCACCTGCAGGATATGTATATGCAGGAAATGTATGGGGATCTATTCGGCCATCCTCCGGAAGACGGGGGTCCATACCCTCTTCCAGATGATGATGATCCAGATCTGTGATGTTGAGCCACAGAATAGAGAAAGGAATGTCACCCAGCGAGCAAGAGCTAGGATCCAAGCACGCCGTGTGATAGGTACACTCCTCCAAGGAAGAAATATAGTAATTCACAGCTGGAGATAACAGGTTCGATACGACAATCCCAAAACCAGTCTATATATCCCTATAGCGTACAGTACAGTCTAAAAAGAAACCAAAAGCCAAAACAAAGAAGACACACGAATTAATGCTTTTGTCTCTGAGCGGAACCAATCGCAGCACCAACTGTGAGTCATCAGAAAAGGACGGGAAATGGATATGTCTATCGCGGTCACAGGTGCAAAGAGAAATAAAGACAAGGATAGTGGGTGGTGGCATAAGGGGGGCGTAGCGGGACACATTGTACAGTCTATGTGTCAGAGGAGGCATTGAATAACCAAAAGGAAAATGTAGTGTGGCTGGCAATATTACAGAAGGTCATCGAACTCGGGTGGAGATGTTTACTCCCGCGAGACATCACGACCAAAGAGACGAGCCTTGACCCAGTCGACGCAGACAAGGACACGGTTACGAGCTGGATTATATGTTAATGATCAATCTCAATCAATGTTGGATAGAACTTGGAACTTACTACTGAAGCACATGCTCAAATAGGCACTGCGCCAGAACAGGTAGGTCATGGTACCACCGCTGGCGATGTTGCCGCTCAGCCAGCTGATATCGGCCACGGCACGCTCCTTGCCGATGTAGGCCAAGGAGCCCTGGTGCGAGTACTGGAAGGGACCGATCTGCTTGCTGCGGCGGAGCTGCTTCTGGCGCTCACGGATCTCATCGAAAATCTGGTTGCGGTCCTCGTCGCCCTTGGCCTGGGCCTGTCGCTCTGAGAGGGCCTCAAGCTCCTTCTCGAGAGCCTCAGTCTTGGCCATAATGTTGAAGAGGCGGCCCAAGAAGGCACCCTCCTGGCCGGCAACCTGAGCGGTCGGGGCGTAGTTAGCAATAGCGCAGTCACCGACGGCCCAGACGTTCTCGGTGCCGTTCACGACGAGGTATTCGTTGACAGCGAGACCGCGGCGGGACTCGGCCTGGGCGGGGATCTGGGACATGAGGTCGCGGACGACGCTGCGGATGGCGTTACCGGTGGCCCAAACGAGAAGACCGTAGGGGATAGTCTCAAGCTCCTTGGATCCGTCGGGCTTGGTCACCTCGGCCTGGATGTACTTGTCGGTAACCTTCTTGACCATGGTCTTGGTGCGGATGGAGATCTCCTCCTCCTTGAAGGTAGATTCGGTGTACTCAATCAGTTGCTTCGAGAACATGGGCAGAACGTTGGGCAGAGCCTCGACGAGAGTGACGTGGAAGTTGTCCTTGATTTCGGGAATCCACTTCTTCAAGTCATCGTTGAAGAAGTCCTGCAGTTCACCGGCGAATTCAACACCGGTGGGGCCACCGCCGACGACAACCATGTGCAGCAGACGCTTGACCTCTTCCTCAGTCTGATCCTTGAAACAGGCAGTCTCGATACAGTCCATAATACGCTTGCGGATGTTCTGGGCGTCACCGACTTCCTTCAGGAAGCAGGAGTTCTCACGAACACCGGGAATACCTATACGTCACAAAAATTAGTTCAAAATGCATCATTTCAGATGCGAGAGAGAATCCCACCAAAAGTCGCGTTCTCGGCACCAACACCGATCACAAGCATGTCAAAGGGAACCTCGGTGTGCGAGATATCACCCTTAATTTCCGAATCATCACTGATGTACACGACGCGCTTCTCATAGTCGATCTTGGTAGCCTCAGCCTCGTAGAATTGAACGCTGGCCTTCTTGTGGCGCAGAATATTTCGGATAGGCTCCATGATCGAGCGGTGCTCGATCAAACCGGTAGTACATGAGGGCAGCAAGGGAGTGAAAAGGAAGTAGTTACGGGGAGAGACGACGATAACGTTATAGTTCTCGGTGTCAAGCTTCTTCAGGAGGGAAACGGAACCCCAGCCAGTTCCTACACAAACATAGTCGCGTTAGTGATACTTAGGCCGTAAGGAATCAACGATTGCGACCGGCACATACCGAGAATGACCAGGGTCTTCTTTGATGGGTCAGGTGGGGATTGGTCTGGAGGTTGACGGAGGTCGAAGATGCTGTATGCGACAGCACCAGTCAAACCAATAGCAGAGAGCCAAGTCAACCGCCAGGCCCAACGCAGAGCTCTGAAGCGCTTCTTAGGCTTCGGGGCGGGCGAGGGGGCAGCATCAGCGTAGCCCCGACGAGCGATACGCGACACGGATTGGGAAACTTTGGTAGACCGCATCGGCTTTGCGCGAAGAACCAGCTGCGATGTAGACATCGACCTGCGCGTCATCGACGACAGCTGCATGATGGACGGGGCCATCTTGCGAATTGCTAGCGTTCTGCCAGCCATTGTGAGAGGGCACACCAAAGGTAGAGGGAATGCGAATGGGACGAAAGATCAAGGGTGGAATAATTTAAAAAGAGAAAAAAAAGATTTGATAAGCTCGATCTTTGAGTTGCTGTTTTGGGCGAATCGGTGTAGCCGGACCCAAAGGGGGTAACCGTGTATCTAGTACCTGACAGATTGCGTGCTACCTGTAGGAAACCTAGGTACTGTCTACATTTACCTTTTTTTTTTCTTTGTCATTTTGAACATTTAATTACTATTTAGAGTATATAAGCTTGTTCTAACATCTATCTTATACTATAAATTATGATAAAGCTTGCAAGTACTTACCAAATGATATACATAACCAGCTTAAATGCTTTAATCACAAGCCAAATACAAAAATATAAAAAAAAGAGAAAAATAAAATTGGAGAAACTGAGGGGACAAGGAATCTCCCGGTGAGGAGAAATTAACCGCGGGGAATTCACACTCGGTCCGGTCAATGTTTTGGGGTAAACATTTAGGGAATTACTTAGTAGGACTTGGATTTTGAATGTCTATGTTGGACTCTGTACTCCATATTTACCTAACCTTGGAAGATCTTTCTGGCATACAACATCCCCAATCACTAAACCCCCTTTCCCCTCGTTCTCCCATTCCCCAAGCCCCAAGCCCTACCTTCCCCGACACTTGACCGATATTACCCGCATATTTATGTACAATATATTCTACTCCATACCTGTGAACATAATTTTGCTCTCTCGAGTTCTAAATAAATACGGTAGAGTTGTGTTTGGCAAAACCTGGGGAAGTTTGAAGCTCCACTTCCGTAACTGGTCCGGCTTCTCCCATCTAAACCTGGAAATCCCGGGCCTTGACACCACATAGAAAAGGTCGGCCAAAATCGGCCTGTTATCGTCTGTTCGAGCTTAATTGTACTTGTGATGTGCTCAATCGGCAGCACTCCCGGTCTTTCTCGTGGTCTTTCTCGTGGTCTCTTTCTCGGGTTAATTGTACAATGTGACACTCGCCATTGTCTACTACCCGCTGATACATGTTTGTTGTGGGGAGATATCAGCTCCGAGGGCAACAGGGCGTCTAGTGACAAATTAGTATGACAAATCATAGAAATAATTGGAATATGCTCGCTGGAGAGTAGCTAGAAGCCTCGGCACCTGAGATATAAGTATAAATGAGATCCAGATATTCGGAGGTGATGTCAATATCAGGTGTTATATCAGTTGAAACACTGTTCCAGGAGCTGCATTTTCATTGGCCAATCCAATGTTTTTTGCAAATACATAATATGCTCATTTATGCTTATATCCCCGAAAGGCAACCATCCATTGTTTCCGAGTCATGATAAAGGCTGCCCCGTGATCTCACACTCCTAGAGCATCACTAGAACATGTAATAAGTATAAGCCAGTATAGCAACTGAGACATCATGATCCGATGTGACAGATACCTACGCATCAAGAGCAACGTTAACTTCGCGATTAGAACAAGACAATTTCCATGGATCACATCCAAGCTCACAACAACGAGATATCGTCCGTGAGATCCGACGTCAGGACGAATGCAAAATCAACAACACCAGTGATCAAGAAGCTGACTTGGTATGATAACACAATATATAATCCAACAGGGATCCCAAATCCTCTTATAGAGCATGAAGTCAAGGAGTCCATGGGCCCCCGACCCCAAATCAGCAAAAGAACAACATATCCAAACCTACCAAAGAACTGCACTGCAACCCTGGAAGCAATAGCAGACTACATACGACAAATTCTACACGTACCTACGAGCGACAGCTCGGACAGATTTTAAACACAACGGCGTTGATACAAGTCCGCCATCCGCCTACAGAGTATGCAAGGAAGCAGTGCTGGGAGCCTGCAATTAGCGAATATGTCTATTGAATAGGCTGAAACCCTGCTTTAAAAGTGTACAAGTGTGCTCTTATGCGGGTACGAGCATGATATCGCTCTTCTGTGAATTCTTTGCCCCACCTTTGCTTGTCTACGCGTCCATCTAGATTGCATCTGGGTTGGTTGCGTATATCGGGGTCTCCGTGTCGGATGAGGTATCGTATTTTCATTGGAGGGCGCTGAAGGCATGGGGATGCAGGATGCGGCTTAGATCGGTGTAGTATAGAATACCCCGAGTTGCACTTTCTTTTTTTCTCCATCCGCCCTGTCTGGTCGGATTTGACATCGCTTATGCTTCATGTCTTCATGAGGTTCGTTTGTATGTGTGACGGGGGACATAGAAATATAGCCGCACTGCGAGATGAGAATGTGGCCAGTCGGTTTATCAGGTATTTCGTGTCCTGGAAATGTGAGGTTCCATTATGGTTATGGCGAGGCCGAATTCTGATGTTGGAGGTGCTGCTGTGTCTTCGTATCTGTATCTCTGGGCAAAATCTGGATGCAGAACCCGGTGGTATTCCATTGAGATTTCATCTTGTCTGTCGGATTGTTCCTGCCTTGCTTGCTTCTATCAACATCCACTGGTTAATTCGGTGGCTGTATTGAATGCACTTGCTGCCTTGAATCTGTCGACAGAGGGTCTTCATTAGCTTGAAGAAACAAGACACCAAATTAGAATTTCAATTGAGATCT